AGACCTCCTGGGGGTCGACGTTCTGCAAAATCACGACGTCGCGGCTGCTCGGGTGAGCGTGGCTCCCAGAGGCATGATGTATCTTGCCCGCTGCTGCGGGCGGCAGTCCACGAAGTCTGGCTCCCCCCTGTCCCGACGGAGGTCTTCCTCGATCGCCGTCTGGGTGTCGCTCGCTCGATGTCGGCGGGGGATCGGCTTCTGGCGGCGCAGCGATTGGTGATCAGCTTTTCTTTATACTTCCGCAGGACGAATGATTTTCTTCTGGAGGTGAAAATGGCCATGGGGAGTTCGCGAGACAACATCGGCGCCGCCGAACGGACGGCGACCGGACGAGCTGTTTGCAGCAACCGGGGGGAGAGGGATGTATGTATTCATGTTGAATGGGGCCCGCTCGCGCGGGGAGTTGATGGGAGTGCGCGAGACGATGCATAGTGGAAAGTTGATTACCGAACCCCTCTCCCCCGTAGAATCTTAACACGGGAGGTTTGCGGGGTCCGCGGGTCCGATTTCTTCAGGCCCCCTGTGTGATTTAATAGTACAAATTTAGAACCGGGTAGAAATCGGATCCGCCGTGCAAGAAAAAGGTGGGACGCGGACCCGGGAACATCCGAAATCAGAGCCGCGTGGACAGAAATCGGATCCACCGAAACACAGACGAAAACCAACATTGGATCCGCGCGAACTTGATTGGATCCGATGGCGTGTATCTCACACGCGTCTGCTCAAGACGTCAAACATTCGCTCCGGGCCCAAGAAGAAAAAGCTTTCGTCCTAGGGATGTATAGCTCTTTGGGGAGACAAGCGAGGGTCGGTCAGGCGGTGGTTGGGCAGCATGCCAAAGCAGCCAGAGCGCAACTCTTATAGCAGCAGGGCGATCGAGCGTAAGCGATTACGAACCCTGTCCGAGCTTCGTGTGAGGAGGAAGAGGAGGAGGGAAGGAGGATGAGGTGGAGGGGGGAAGCGGGGAAGGGGAGAGAGAGGGACATGGGGCATCGTAGTGCCCTCCTGCCGGGGCCATGGTGAAGTCCTCTGGGGCCGCTCTTGGCTCTCCTGGGGCTCTCCTTGAAGGCCTCTCCGTCACAGAGTGAGGGTTCCATAGGTGCGTCCCCCCGTCGGGCCACGAAAGTGAGCCTCTTTGAGCCTTCTTGACACGCTACTGAGGCGCTCACAGGGGCTCTGGGGCGGTCTTGGGGACTTCCTGGAGAGGCCTTCGTTCGCCATTTCGGAGCCACCTTGAGGTATCAAGAGCCCATCGAGAGCAAAAGGTCCGAAAGCTGAAAACATTTGAGATTATTGTGGTCGTGAGTGACTTTCGCCTACGGGGGCTCCTCGGGATGTTCCGTGACCACTGGGAGCGCCTTGGAGCGGACCTCAGGCCTCTTGAACGCATGCTGGAAACTACTTTGAACAACTCTGATGTATGTTGCGCGATGCTGCATATTTCTTAGGCTATCTGGAGGCTTGTTGGAGCCGTGTGGAATCCCAGGGAGAGGTGACACACCCCCAGGACCTCCCCCACCACCCCTGGGGACCCCCCCGCTGTTGGTGAGTTACCGCCGCTAAATGTTGCAATGTGTTGGGTGCGCAATTGTGTTTCTTCATCACCTTGTTCACCATTTGCTTTCATGGAGTATGGCAAGAGGTACGCAGCTGGTGTGGCACAGCTGCACATCCGAGGGCGGGCGAATTGTCAGTTTGTGTTACGCATTCGCCAGCTATATATAGTATGGATTCGATTGGGTTGTTTGTCATGTTTTTTTCAAGAAGGTCGAACACGAAATCTGGTAATGCTTGATGGAGCGTGCTGGTCATCTGGCCGATTGTAGTGCCTTTTGGGAGATGACGTATCCTGATTAGTGCGCATCACTGGGCGAGCACATCAAGCTAGCTTGTAGTGGCTTGAGATCATGTAGCACCTGGCTATTTTCAAAGATGTTCAAAACAAGTTTTTGTGAACGTCACGACCCCTGGACTCTCGACCACTTCTCTGGGGACGGATTTCCCCATTCCCAGGGCCGGGAAACGGCCTCGAGAGGCCGAGAACGACAACACACCGGCCCTCTTTTTTTCGTTCCGCCGCCCAATTCTGAGGGTGAGTCGTTTTGCCGTCCGCTGAGAGATTCGGGCCTTCTGCGAGGAGGAGGGGGGGTCGGGTGTTGCCAGAAGTGCCCCTGGCCCAAAGCGCCCCCAGGATTTGCTGGGCGGCCCAGACGGCCTTCAGAGCACCCCTCGCAAGGCCCAGAGGGCCCCAAGGGCTCCAAAATGGAGCGACAAGCTGGGGGCACCTTGGGCCACGGGCACCTGTGGCAACCCCCGAGGGAGGGGTGGGTGGGAGAACCGGTGAGGAAGACAGAGGAGGAGGGGGAGGAGGAGGAGAAGGAGGAGAAGGAGGAGGAGGAGGACGGAGGACGGAGGACGGAGGAGGAGGAGGAGGAGGAGGTGAGGAGGTGAGGAGGTGAGGAGGAGGAGGAGGAGGAGGAGGAGGAGGAGGAGGAGGAGG